TTTTAAAAAAGTATCCAAAAGACATAAATATCTCTCCTTACCTAATGTTTTAGGCTTATCTCGAGATAATTGGCATTAAGAGCGTAGGCGCAAAATTTCGGGCCAATGTTTTTAAATGCATTCATTTTTTTCGAATTGTGTGAAAATTATTAAATATTTTTTAAACGCAGAATAAAAGACTACATTACTAACGAGGACTGAAAGTCCCTTAGATGTAATTAGATATTAGATGTAATTAGACACGGTTCGCCACGAGAGCGTTTCAACGTGAAGAAGAAGAATTAATCCAGCATGGGGCGATCGAGAATAAGTCCTTAAATTTATAGATGAAAATTGGATGCGTTAACCAAGACAAAACTAGGATGGTGGATAATTCCAACTATACAGGGTGAGTCATAGTTATTGGGACATAGACTAAGGACAGGTTATATTTATCAATTGCTATCAAAATTGGCACAGGGGCAAAATCTAAGACAAAAAATAGTATTTTATTTACAATTCCACTATCAAATGCCAAACTAATAAACAAAGTTGCAACTAACGTAAGGTTTCCGTTTTGACGATAAATCAAAACTAAACACACTTTAACTTAAAAGAACTCACAAAAACTCAAACTAAATGTTCTACATGGTCTCCTCCGATTTCTATGCCTTTTCTAATTCTTTTTATAAAGAATTTTCGGACGTTAAAAAAAATATTATTCTGTCCCCTTATAAGATTAGCTGCATTTTGAATGTATCTCCAAAGTTCGTCTCATGTATTAATTTCATTGACATAAACTAAGGACTTCATATGTCCCCAAAAATAAAAATCTAGCGGGTTGTGCTCAGGACTTCTTGGTGGCCATTGAAAATCACTGCCTCTGCCAATCCATCGTTGAGGAAATACGTCATTAAGATGATTTTTAACAGCTAATGAAAAATGAGGTGGCACTCCATCCTGCATAAACCACGTTTTTCTTCTTACATCCAGTGACAGATCATCTAAAATATCACTAAGAGTATTTTTCAAAAAGAATAAATAAGAATCTCCATTTAAATTCGGAGGAAGAACATAACGCCTTGTAGTTGGTCGCCTATAATGCCACACCAAATATTCAATTTAAACTCATGCTGAAATTGTCTAGCTTTATTAGCATGCGGGTTTTCTTCTTGACAATAATGACTATTTCGCCAATTAAAAACCTCTCGTCTGGTAAAAGTTGCTTCGTCGGTAAACATAAGATTCTTAATAAAGTGTCAGTCATTGCGATGTTTATTCAGAATATGTTGACAAAACTGTAACCGTCGTGGAAGATCTGTTGGAAGTAAATTTTGAACAGGAGTGAAATGATAAGGATGGAGGTTCTCTTTTTTTAGAATTCTAACAATAGACGACTGACTTACTCCTGTTGCTGCTGATAGATGTCGTGAACTTATTTTAGGATTCTCATCTACTCGAAACAAAAGTTCATCTTCTTAATTAGGTGTGATTTGTTTCGGTCGACCACCCCGATTTTTAGTGTGAAATGACCCAGTTTCACCTAAACTACGATATAATCTTGCAAAAGTTTTGTGATTTGGTTGCCTTCTGTTTGCGTATAACATTCCATACCTTCTGGCTGCCGAGCGACCGCAAAAATTTTCTTGTGCGTATACGCAAATCATATCTCGCATTTCTTTATTAGTAAAATGATTGTGACGAAGCATTTCAATCAAAAAAAGTAATGATTACTTTAAAAAAATGTAATATTACACTACACTGTCACATCAAAAATAATTTACTCTGAACAAATGACATTTACCAACAACAATTATCTGACAGTCCAAAGCATACTTTTCATAAATGAAATAATATTTAAAATCCCTTTTTAAGACTCTAAGCAGTTCGACTGCGTTTTTATCGAAACGGTTGAAATTATCATTTTTAAACAAGAGTACCAATTTTACGTAAAAATGATGTTTACGTCATATTTTCTAATAAAAATTACTAAAAAGTTTCATCAGAAAAAGTTTAGACTCAATTTGATCATTAGGAATGATCCACGTGGCGCCCTCTATGACAAAACGTAAAATTACTAATGACAAAACGTAAAACTATTAGCAAAAAAACGAAAAACAAAAATTATCTTTAACACCCTGTATCTTTTTCTCGGCAACATTTTATTAAGACATATTTGGCCCAATAGCCATATTTTAGTCCAAATAACCTGTCCTTAGTCTATGTCCCAATAGTTATAACTCACCCTGTATAGTTTTTAAAGAGGTGAGTCAAGATTTCGAAGTTATTAATGTACAACGTAAAGTGTTATCTTCGTATATAGTATGAAAGTACAACACTAGATCCCACTTCAAATTAGTGCCTAGATACCCTAATTGAAGCATCAGAAAACCTGTGAATTTCTACTGTAATTTGTTTATTTTGAAATACCGGGGTATTTTACAATAATTTATTACGCAATATCAGAGACGAAATTTTTTCATTCGTGATTGAGGGTTTGGGTAAAGGGTCATCCCAATTGATTTTTTAAAGACCAATGTAATCAAACATTTTCAACAAAAATGATATAACCGTTCTTTTAGTGTATACAGAAGTGAGTTTTGGTGAACTAGATACAGAAATGAAAAAGTGGTCTTCATTAGGCTACCAGGAGAGGTATAGTATCTTGCTACTTTTATTTTCAACATTAAGTTCATAATTTAGCGGAGGGTGGTTTCTATATTTTACTGAAAATTCTGGAGAGTTGTAGATCCATTTGTGGAGACGCATTCCATGATGATTTAACATTTCATTTAACTCATGGTGTGCGATTCCCAAAATAGGTTTGATTAAAGAAAGAAAACGTTAGCACCGAGAGGGTATTTAAATAAAATTTGCATTTTCGGTTCAACAACGAGTTGCTAAGAAACTGGAGCAAGTAACTACATACATAAGAGAAGTAAATTCGATGCATTTTAAGGGCCTGTCTCTTCATTTGCAGAAAAATTTGTTCGCTGTACAAATTAATCTGTCAGTACATTTTCTCGATGTCTATAATAAAAATGAATTTAATTGTCTAAAACGACAAATAATATCAAACTAATCAGGTTGTACCTGATATCCAATGAGCAAAATTTCATTAATGGTGTGTCCAGAGGTTAATTTACAGCTACCGTCGAAAACTATGCGAAGTTTGGCAGTAGAAAAATCTTTAATTAAAGCAGTATTTATTTAGTAAATGAGAATTATGCAGAAACAAAGATATTCATATACCATGGTTTAAGTTGAGAATGTTTTGTAAGCGTTAAAAAGTGAAGGGTTGCTGTTGAATCTTCTTTCAAATTATTCAAAGCATTTTTTGCTATATTAGATGAGTCACCTAGTTTAAGATGCTCGAAAGGGGACTTCAAAGGTAATTTTAAAACTACCATTTGCCAGAATTTTATGCCAAGTGTAACTTTAATTTTAGCCAGTTCATCCTTACTGGACAGTTTTATAGAGGTGGGGCATGCTCAGTTTTCCAGAACATCGACTGGTATTTTCAGATGGGAAATCAAAATTCAGTCTTTATTCCCCTTCCAAAAACTAAGGGAGCAAAGAAGTGTGGTGATTTCAGACTTATTAGTTTAATGTCGCATATGTTAAAGTTATTCTTGAAAATTATTCACCAACGCATTTATAAGAAATGTGAACAGGATATCAGTGATGAACAATTTGGCTTCCGAAATGGATTTGGGACACGGGAAGCATTAACCAGTTTTATTATACTGCTGCAAAAATGTCGAGACCAAAAAAAGGATCTCTTTTTATGTTTTATTGACTATCAAAAGGCCTTCGACAAAGTAAAACATGATAAGCTGATGGATTGCCTTCACAAAAAGGGACTAGACGAGAACGATTTTAAAATTATCCAAACGCTGTATTTTAACCAAACTGCAGCAGTTAGAACAGAAGCCGGTGACACAGAAATATTCAATATCAAGCGAGGTGTACGACAGGGGTGTGTATTGTCACCACTACTTTTCAATATATATTCGGAAGAAATCTTTGCACGAGCACTAGAGCAATCAAGAGAAGGTGTTAAAATGAACGGCAGAGTTCTAAATAATGTACGATACGCCGACGACACGGTCCTAATTGCAGAGAGCGCACAGGATCTCCAGACACTCTTAGATCGCGTCAGATCGATCGGAGAACAATACGGCCTCGGCATTAACGTCAAGAAAACAAAAACAATGATTGTCTCCAAAACATCCATCCATCCACCCATGGCTTTAAACCTGAATGGTAACATTATCGAAAATGTCGAGAAATTTCGATATCTAGGGTGCTGGATAACGAAAGATATAGATCCAGACATAGAAATAAAATCGCGAATTGAACAAGCAAGAAATGTCTTTTTAAAAATGAAACAAATGTTTACGTCCCAAACACTCAATCTCAAAATCCGATACCGAATGCTGAAATGTTACGTTTACAGCACCTTACTATATGGAATGGAGGCCTGGACCTTCAAAATCAACTCACTAAGGCGTTTGGAAAGTTTTGAAATGTGGTTATTTCGAAGGATGCTGAAAGTCCCCTGGACAGCGCATATGAGCAACGAGCAGGTCCTACACAAGATGGGTACCGACAGAGAACTCTTAAAAATAATGAAAACAAGGAAAACCTCATATTTGGGACACATATACAGAAATGAGAAATACCAGCTACTGCAGCTTCTTATAGAGGGGAAGGTAGAAGGAAAACGTGGTCCTGGTAGACGGCAGGCGTCCTGGTTGAAGAACATTCGTGAGTGGACTGGTTTAGATTCTCAATCTTTAATAAGAAAAGCCAGGGACAGAAATGATTTTGCTGAGGTTATCGCCAACCTTCATTGAAGACGGCACCCAAAGAAGAAGAAGAAATCAAAATTCTAAAACAAATGTAAAATATAATTTTTATTACAATCATTATGGTTTAATATACAATAATATTTAACTGTGAATGTCAATTATGCATTGTAAAATATATTAGAGGTATGAAATAAGAAACCAGTAAATATTTTTAATCGCATTTATTAAAAAAATCAATGTATTTCAAAAAATATAAAGATTTAAACAAATTATCTAAATCGTCATGGACGTTAACAATACTATTGTTCCATTTGTTGAGAGGGAAATGTATGTAGTTGTGCTGTACTATCAGTTGTCTCCTATAACAAAAAACAAGCTATAAAGGATATAATAACCACAACAGGTACAATCACAAATATAGATAAAATATACTAATGCTATATTGTTTTTTCTAATATACTAATGAAATATGTGAGACGTTACTGTAAAACTTTTTCTTTTCTCTTTCGTTTTTGTGACATAACATATTACCAACTAAAAGAAATAGTTTTATCTTGATCATTATTTTATTACCCCTGACATTTCTTTATAATATTTGCAGCAAATTCAAATGGTTTAAAATACATCAAATTGTAGAAAAAAATACTTTTTCGCTAGTTACGGTAGGAGCACCGGCAGCTAACTAATAACTAAAACCTACTAACTTTAGTTGTTTTTTTTTTAATTCCTCAATGCTTTCTTAACACATAAAATATTTTCACACTTTTTGCCTTTTAAGCTGTCTGTTGTATACCGCTTTTATTGCAGCCAATTGGGTTATTGTGCATTTTTATTTATTCATGATACTCATTGCAGAATTCTGAAACTCTGTACCATCTTGTATAGGCTAATGCGGAATGTCATATGAGTTTGGTGATACTTGGTAGCATCCAAAAAGTGTTTTTAAGATTAAATATTCATAAAAAAGCCCTATTGTAAAAAGGTGCTCCGTGACTTGCTAATATCCAATAAGGAAGTCCATTATAGTTCTTAGCTGATTCCTGTCCGTTTTCCGCAGTTTTTTAGCTCATATCCGTGCAGTATACATTTTGCCTTCTGATTGACCAGGTATATTAATTTTTCGTGCACAATACAAGATTGTATTATATTCATCATTATCATGTTTAAAGACTGCAGCTTAAATATCTATAAAAATAAGCCCCATTTTGGAATGGTGCCCCGTGATTGGCTTATATCCAATAAGGAAGTCTGTTATAGTTCCTAGCTGATTCCTGTCCATTTTCCGCAGTTTTTCAGCTCATGCCCGTTCAGTATTCATTTTGCCATCTGACTGACCGGGTATATTGATTTTCTTGCATAATACAAGATTGCATTACATTCATCATTATCTTTCTCCTATATGTATGATTCTTAATTAAAAAATGAACAAGAGTAATTTACTTGTTGCTCAATAACTTCATATATGATCATCTTCAATCAGAAAATCGCGTCCACTGCTGGATATAAGCCTCCCTCGGTTCTTTCCAGTTTTTTCTATACTGGACCGCTTGTAGCCAGTTTTCCGCTACTCTTTTCACGTCGTCTGTCCATTTAGTCGGTGGTCGTACTGGGATTCTTTTATAGTTTTTGTAAAAAAAATTACTTCTGTAGCCGTTTCCGGGAAACAATGGGTATGCTAACTTTACGGTAAAGCTAGCATGTTAGAAGTTATTGATACACATGTGTTATGTATTCTTGAATAAACAGCTATACTAAAGATATCTAATGTTTATTTTAAGTCATATCTTACATCCATAGCTGTATCTCGGCAAGGAAAAGGGGTACAGGTAACATCTTGGTATATTGGTAACATTTTGGTATAACATCTTGGCATAATTTATTGCTAAAAAAACATCGCTGGAAACAGAGATATCAGTCAAAAAGCGAACCGCAAGAAATTTATTGCTATTATAATTTATTGCCGAACGTTTGAGCCGAGAAACAATTTATCGCTGCAACTGTTTCCGAGAAACAATGATTATGTTAAGTTTACAGTAAAGCTAGCAATACAATAGCTATATCTCCAAATTTCTCTCAAATTTCCAAAAACTACTCCATTATTCCGGCCCCAAGCTTAAAACACACCCCCAAAAAAAAACAAGATATCTTCCAAAAAGCGGACCGCAAGGAATTTATTGCTAAATTTTTACGCCAAAAAAAAATTTATAGCTGTCACCGTTTCCGAGAAACAAGGATTATGCTAACTTTACGGTAAAGCTAGCATGGACATGGCTATATCTCGGCAATGAATAAGGCTACAGAGCTCATCTTGGCGGCATATTTTATTGCTAAGTAATTGCTATGGATTGGTATATTGATCAATCCCCAAAATCTACCACATCATCCCTTAGCGCAAAACTCATCCCCGTAAAAATCGAAATAACGACAAAAAGTTTGAAACAAAAAAGTGAAGCGCTAGGAATTAATTTCTAATTTATTGCTGAAGTCCGTTTCCGAGAAACAATGCTTGTGCTGACGTTATGGTAAAGCTAGCATAGCATATCTCGGAAAATGAAAATGGCTACAGAGCTTATCTTGGCGACATATTTTAATTTATTTTGCCGAGGAAATGCTAAAGATTGGCTAGGTGACGGGTAAATAAGTTGGGCGCTACTATACCATCATAAAATGAATAATATTACAGTATGCTAGTGTGGGAGGGCGCTGAACTATACAAACAGCTGAGTTTCACACTACTGTGACTGCACCCTAATATAACATCCAAGTTTTGACAAACATCTTGATTTTCCGGGGATAAGTTTTGCGCTAGAGGGATAATGGGATAGTTTTTGGGGATTGGTCATGTACCAATCAACAGCAATTAATAAGCATTTGGGGATTTGTTAATATACCAATCTAGCTAGAAATATAGCTATGGCTATGCTTGATATACTGTAAAGTTGGCATACCCACTATTTCTAGGAAACAGCTACGGCAATATTTTTTTTTCGTAATAAATTAGCAATAAATTATAGTGCTGGTCTAAATTCGACCTTATAAAATGGATGGATATGCTAACTTCACAGACATCCTGCCTTCCCAGTTCCACTTAAGTGCCGTAATTCTTTCGATGATGTCTTGAAGTCCTTATCTTTGCATGAAGTATTGGTTTGGTATGTAGTCTCGAAAACTTACGTCCAGCACTGCATGTTTCATAACTCGTTGTGTATTTCTAAGTTTAGGTACTTGCAGGTTTTGCGTCAGTGTTAAAGTCTCTGCTCCGCTTCATAAGTGTGTACGGGCAAAACACATTGGTTATAAAGCTTTCGCTTTAGACACAAGGGAATTGCATAACCATGGCTATAATTCCTAATAGAAACTCCTTTGTGATGAAAGTTGCTTCGATGGTAAACAGAATACCTATATTAAACAAGTTGCCATTTTAGTGTTTTTAGTACTTACGATCCAATTAGGAAAATTAAATCTTCGAAAGTAAATTGGCAAAGATTTCTAAACAGGAATCGTAAAGTTTTAGATTTTCATTTTTCATTAAACTGAATATTGATGTTTAATTGTAGTAAACCTTAAGCTTAGTTAGAATTTTCTGTAATCTTCACTAAAATATCATATTCATTGTCAACAGATATTTGTTTGTATGATCTGTTGCCGAGTTTGTGCTTAATTTTTTAAGTATCTCCTCCTCGATTAAAACTCTGTATAAAAGTTAATGAGGACATGTTAAAAGAATGCCAGAGTAGAGATGGCCTAAAAGAGTACTGGAATGGATCCCTCCTGAAAGAAGAAAGAGAGTACGACCACGGAGAAGTTGGCGCAACGATATTGATGAAGCAATGGCGGCAAGAGACTTAGAAGAGGCAACTGCGTATGACAGAAAAAGATGGAAATTGGGGCGGAGAAGCGACGACAGCCGTAATCAATCCGTTATTATATATATAAAAGTTTTCATATTTTCGAGTAGAAATTACCAGGCCATAAGTTTTTTGATTATAAGGACAAATCATATTACATATTTTACTGCAGTTTCACTTGAAGTTTTAACATTTTACAACAATTAAACTCTTTGCAAAAAACTGTTAGAGAAGAGCTGGATTTATTTGATTACATGTGTTAATATTTTATACGCTCCTTAAAAAAGAGTACATAATGTAGATGAATAATTTTTACGCTTGTATGTGAATTGTCTTGGAAATTAGACACCTAATCGTATTACAAAATTAAGACGAATTGAAAAATTGTTCTAAAATGACAATTTCTCCAGTGTTTCAGAATGCAGAAATACTTTATGCTTCTCGTACGCTGTCGTACATCTCTGGTGATGCCTTTAAAATATTTTGTGCTACCATTTACTTTATATTAAACTACATGAATTTGATGCAAAATATTAGGAAGTATTAGGATAATGATCAAAATTGATATTTAAAAATTTCCACTTGTATCTCATAAAACAGCAATATTTTGTTCAGTCATTTGGCAAACACCCGTGCTCTAGTTCAACTTAATGACGTGTTTGCTACTGGAGAAGTAGCTGAGGAATGGCTCAAGTCTGCTTTTACAGCAATTCCGAAGAATTTCCGACGAATACAGGTTAATTAGTCTAATGAGCCAGAAATTGAAATTTTGTGTTCGAATTATTCATGGAAGAATAAGAAACCATTGCGAAAGAGACCTAGATGAAAACTAGTTTTTATTTAAAGTCGCGCTGGATATCCGTAAGGCACATTTTGGCTTAAATTTTTAAAAATGCCGCGACCACCGTGATTTTTCACGAGAATCGTACGAGTCGATGGGAGATTAACCGACGAATGTTACATTCACAGATACGTCAGACAGAGATGCATTTTCTAGACGTTGTTATTTATTGTCTATATCATTTTCAAACAGGTTTTGTAAGATAAAATCTTTGGGTTAAAAGAAAACAGTGAACTGATTAATAATCTTATATATGGTGCTCGTTCCCTAAAAATTGTATTAACAAATACTTTTGATGTAAAGAATATTTAAAAAAATAAGATTCACGTTGCCAAAGCAAGAAAGATATTTATTAATTCTGATTTAACCCCCCAGCAACTCAACAAACTCAATAAAGAGTTGACCTCAAAAAGAGGTCCTCCAAAAACGCCAAGAACAAGGTGAGAAAGATTTATTTATACGATATATTAAAGGTACACCTGAAATTTGCAAAAATGATAATTCCACACAAAAAAACTAGACACAACGAAACATATAACATATGCACCTCCGTATCAATTTATTATCAAAATGTTGGTGGATTAAGAACAAAACTAAAGTCACTGGAAATTGCCATAGCTCAATGTAATTATCATATAATCATTTTGGTGGAAACTTGGTTAACTTGTGA